AAGTGTAACTGTTAATTATGAGAATGTTCCACGAATTCTGTTTATGTCATTAAGTGACTGCACAACAAATGTGATAACCGTACATCTTAAATTAATATTTACTACCATTTATTTTGGTAGTCAAACGACGTCTAACGCATCAAAGTCTTACAGTGATAACGTATGCCAAATGCTTTTATCCCGTTTTTACTTAATTGATATTTTTTTCATATAACTTAATACATTCATTGTTTTATTGTGATATATTTACTTGATTCTTTTGTTGTGCTTTTATATGACTAAGTTTGGTCTTTCGCTCTGAGGGTGTTTGAGAACGAAATGTCGAATCCATAATAATAATAATAATAATAATAATAATAATTTGTTTTCTGGTTTATTTAACGACACTGTCAATAGATCAGGCAGAATAGAGTCCTTAATAGGATGATAATAATGAATAATAAATTGTAAAGGACGTGGAAAAACTTATTCGCGTCTTAATCTGAACTTTTATCCTGGTATTTGAATGGAAGGATTGCAGAGAACCGCTTCCTCCCACATCCTTACAGCGAAAAGCTGAGCAGTGGGAAGGAAGGTGAGACCGATTATGGACGCAGAAAGCACAGCCTTCGGAAATGAAGAATTAACGTACGCCTGTAGGCTATTCGGGACGAATAGTCTTAAGGAGGGAGCAATGTGACGTGTATACCCATTCCTAGGCAATGGGTCGGTAAACACATTCCCGCAACACGCGCACGCAACAATAGAATGTCTATTGCTAGCGCAGCTGTAAACACACTCTTTAACAATTGACGGTGTTTTCCGTGGGGTCCGCCCCGAGGCTATATAACGTGGATTTCACGCAGTTAGAATGAGATCCCCTGTGCGTCAAACAGTAATAATTAATATCTGGTCATGAGCCCCAGATGGTGCTCGACACCAAGACTTACTGACTGACTATCAGTCGCAACGTAACTTTGACTTTGACTTTGAGGTTGGGCCGAACACCTCCACCGTAGAACTGCGAGTCATAGAAAGCGACGAAAAGGGAACGTATAACTAGGCCACCCTGTTCCTGGGGTATATAAATACGGGGACATGGCCCTCCTGGTTGGGAAAGTCTCGAATTTGAGACAGTAGAATATGGTCATGAGACCCTCAGGAGAATGACTGCGCTGGCGAGGGCCAGCGGCATTTGTGAACTACAGACCCATACTCTCGTCAGAGAGGATGTTACATAAGAAAAATGAAAGCAAGTATTCAGTTGAGAAAATGCTGGCCGTGAGTCTCAAGGGGCTTGTCGCCAAGGCGAACTGATGGGCGGTAAACTGCCACTCGTAAAGTGACTGACTCTCGAGTTCTGGAGATGGCAGACGAAGGTGACTGAGAAGAAATGGCAAGAAAGGAATTATACTCTGCCAAGAAGACTTCATGTGTGAGCTGAAATGACAGTGAGACGGTTATAAATCCGTTTCCAGGATACGGCTAGTGAAGACTGAGGATCCTATTGCGTATGCAGCGGCGAACTGGGAAGTGTATAAATTAGCGATAGTGCTGTAGTACCTGTAGTCCCGAACTGTGTGAATGTGTGAGGTGCAATAAATCCAACCATCCAATCGAAAACCCCTAGCGCAGTCGGCGTAGCGACTGGCTACGGGCTGGACGACCGAGGGGATGGAGTTCGAGTTCCGGTAGGGGCAAGAATTTTCTCTTCTCCACAGGATCCATACCGGCTCTGGGGCCCACCCAGCCTCCTATCCAATGGGTACCGGTGGCTCTTTCTCCGGGGGTAAAGCCGAAGGGATGTGAAGCTGACCACTCACCTCCAACTAGTGCCGAGGTCAAGAAAATGTGGATCTATACATCCACTCCCGGTACTCCTTCACGGCGTAGTGCTTAATTAGGTGAGCACAGGGAGAACTTTAGCTTATTCAATCCAAAACCCGTTTTATAAGTTACGCACAAACCCCAAATCGTGACGGTATCATCCAGTTATTCGACACATTCCAGTCTGTTACTGATAGCGCCCTTAAATAACCTACAAGAAACGAAAGAAAGAAAACCCCAGACGTAGTTTCATTTGATCGTCCGTGTAAAATCTGGTCAATAGTAGGAAGTATGAAGCTTTCTTCGTTCTTAAGTATCGCTAATCTTGCCAGACCTATTTTCCCCGTACACGCCTATATACTGTACAGTAGGTAATATTGTGTATTTTTCCACATGTTAATCTTCAGTTTCTTGGATGGATGGAAATACAAAAAGATTCGAAAGCGAGTAATAAAAGCGTTTTCCGAATTTAATATCCTTTTTTAATGCCCACGTGAGTTTTCTTTCTGATTTCCAAGTATTTAATTTGATGTCTCTTTAAAATACTTTATTAGCCTTTTATGTGTTTATTTAATCTGTATTCGGATGATGAAATACGAAAATTAAGCTTTTTATAATAAAAATAGTAATAAAATTCTGTATTTGTAATAATAATCGTAAAATATAAGACAATAAAGCTATCCCTGTAACAGGCCGTGGAGGCCCGTAAGGGTGTGAGACGTCGAGGCTCCGACATATTCTAGACAATCGACTCACAGGTGGCGTTGTTGTAATAATAATTGAATTAAATTCTTTATTCTTTATGTGCCGAGTCAACAGCTACAAGGCCAATTACAGACAGAGCACAGTGTAGATACAAGTAATTACATTATGTACAGACACAATATAAAGGCCAATATATGATATAACTCCGTCCTAAGTGCAAACTATATTTATAGGTCTTTCGTTTTGTTCTCCTTTACACACTACATGTTTCGGCCCCAAACGGCCATCATCAGGTGTATTACTCACGTATCTGTTACACTGCACTTATTTATAATATTTAAAATTTAAAACCACAGGTCTTCCTGATTGTTCCTTTCGTTGTTATTACCAAAATCTACTTTATTGATATCTTTGTTATTTACACACGTTAATTTTGTTTTCTCTAAATTAGCACTTATAAAATCTTCGGTTCTAATTTTAAATCCTTTAAAATTTTTTTCTCTAAATTTTAAAATTTAAAATTGTCAGGGTTACTCGCCCTATGTCTATAGTGCTGCAGCGGCTTCTTCTTGTTTCTAGTACTGTATAGGTGTTATTCTGTGTAGTCTCCCTGTGTGCGTGCCGCTGGTTATCTTTATAAGGGCCAAGACAAATTACAGGCAAGCACTGGAGGAAGAAAACACATTAATACAAACTAAACAAAGAACGACATAACACGAAACATTAGAATTATGAACAAATATTATTAAAAATTTTAGGTTAATGAGTATAAATTTGATTGAGAGAAACGGCCCCGACTGCAAATATGTCGAGATCTTTGCCCACCGCGTTGGCAGCATGGGTGCACTGAGCAGAAGTCCCTAATATTGCAGGAAGGAACGCGAAGGCTAATATTTTCCAAAAGGGAGATGCAGGATTTAAGACGACGATAGACTTTAACATCGATAATAATAATAATCATATACCTAATAATTCCTGAAGCATTAACAATACATTTGTATGAATAGTAGTGATTACACAAATGATAAACATTTACAAGCTCGCTGATTAGTTACGGCCATGTATTATGGAAATATGTAGTATATGTTAGCCATAGTTTTTTTACGGAATACAAATATTGGTATATACAGTACCATGTTTGGAGCACGTGAAAGTTGTTATTACGCGGACATTTTGGTAGGTGTAATAATCGTCAATGAATCGAATGACGTTTCTGTCAAGAGTTGCTTCGATGTTGAACGGAAAGAGCGATACGATGCTGAGTATTGTATAAATCTTCATCTCTTTGTGATATTGAAAGTGACACCTTCCTCAGTTAACAAGATACTACTGTATGGAAAAACCTTTGGCAATATTAAATACTTCCGTTCACATGTATCACCATCCGATTGCAATGTTCTTCTGTCTACATATTCAGTAGTCCTAATAATTATATGTTATGCTGTTGTGTGCTCAAACATAGAAGTTTAACATAGTTACCATAAATCTGAACCGCATTAGTGATTCCCTTTGAATGAAGGGCTCTTTGATGATCAATTTATAGAAGATGCTTTTCAAATGTTGACGTTGGACCGGTCGCTATTAGAATTTCTGCAGTATTGGAATACGTAAGAAGTTCTAATACATTAACTCGGAGGTTGACTTATCGATATCTGTTCATCATAGGAACGAAAATTAAGGACATAAGCGCAGGTTTAGTTAATTTCGAAAGAGCTGTTGACAACTGAAACAGAAAGCGTATACCGACAGTATTAGCATATCTCTGAAGTGTCATAATGTGGTCTTCTTCATTATGACATCACCCAATGCGGTAAATTGTTAGCAGATTTCGAAGGAACGTACAGCCTCCGTCTTCTACCCCGAAGATAAAGACAATATTGTCACGTGTGGGAGGGGGTATGCATGATTTGTAGACGGGGTTTGGATTGGGTGATTGGATTCATTGACAAGATAATAATTAAACAAAGCTTCCGGTGGGAATTTATAAATATATATTTGTGCATATGTAAATACACATTTTATTAATATGAAGTTGATTATGCTGCCGAAGTATATTATTCTCGGTTATAGTAGGTCAATGTAAAAAGCAAACGTTTCAGTATTTTCAGAAAATGATTTCAATTAAGGAGAAAAAAACTTTTCTAGGCAACGCCTCGGTTAACACGTTCTCACGGAAATGGTATCCAGTCTGTCACTAGGAAAATGCCATGACAACAGTAGAAGGATTGTAGGAAGCGGTGTTTTCTGATGGGGTCCTCCCCGTGGATGTATAACGAGGACGCCAGCTGAGCTGCAGTTCAGTTAAGTGAAGTGACGTGACATGAAGTGGCTGGTTGGTGAGTGAGAGAGTTAGATTGTCAATTGTCAGTTCAAAGTCAACCCGTGAGGATAAGACTGGGAGTTCGGATAAAATGGCCGCCAGCCTGGGACCCAGTTAGTTGTCATTTGACAAGAGTTCTGCATGGGCGGCTGTGGCAAGAGGACCTGAGTGCGGGAAGCTGAGGAATCTCCACTGTGTTAAATCTGTTGCCAGGAAACGGCTAGTGGAGACTGTAATAGACTGAGTACACTGATCTTTGTGTCTCTGTGATCTGTAAAGTGTAGTTCCAAGCTGTGTATACAAGTGGTCAATAAATACATTTATCAATCCATGCTCCGTCTGTAGGCACTCCCCTAAAATCGTGGGATGACAAATCCATCCAACTTTATAAAAAAAAAACCTGAATGGTAAATACCACTAGGAAACTTAGGCGTAGATGAGAGGATAATATTGTAATGGATTTTAATAGAGTGTGAATATGTGGACTGGATTCACCTGGTTCCATTATCGGGCTGTTGTGAATACGGTAATTAATCTTCGAATTCTGTGAAGAGGGGCTCTTTGGCCAGCTGAGCAAGTGTCGATTCCTCAAGAAGGGTTCTGGTTCATTGAGTTCTTTATTTAGTAATTCGTCTCCAAGCGTCTCAAATGTTTTTGGTCGGTTATTTAAAAGGCATTCCCTAATATTAATTACTGTAACACAATTTTACCATTATACACTTTATAAGATAGTTAAAACTTTCATAGTTTGATTACTTAATATGATTTATCTAAATCTGAAATCCTGATCCTCGAATAATCCAAAATAAATTGTGTACATCAGTGAAGTTGCAGTGCCAAGACAGGAGAAATCTTCCTCCGAAAGTCAATGCACGTGGCCTACATTCAGGCTCAGGCAGTGGGATGCAGTACGCTATATTTCATTCTGGGGTACTGCAAGCGTGACTGTTTTAATGTTTTGTTTCTTGCAGCGCGTTGTGAACCTGAAAAAAATGCAGTAATTGTCAATAAAACTATACTACATGTTGCCTTCTCCAGCTAACCGATTCATTCAAAGTCCTTGTATCCGTCGACACAATTCCTATGTAAATTGAATAAATTTATAATGTTTTCACTCGCATGGGATACTGTATACACCCGGTGTCCCTAGTATACAGTATCCCATGCGAGGGCGGCAAGGTCTATATTGGGCAGACAGGCCGCTCCGTGGACTTGAGGTTGAAGGAGCATCAGCGGCACATCCGTCTCGAACATCCGGACAAGTCAGCCGTAGCTGAACACAGCATCGATCTGGGACACCGCATTCAGCTTCAGAATACCTCCATCCTTGCCACAAAGACCCGATATATGGATCGCATCCCACTGCCATCTGCAGTGTAGTGGGTGAGGTGTGTTTTTGTTTTACCTGTGATTGACCGCCTCTGTGGTCGTAGTGGTTCTGAAACGGTGTCCAGTCAGCCTCGTGAGGATAATGGAGGAGCTATTTCAAGGAAACAGCGGCTCCGGTCTAGAAAACCGAAATTAACGGCCGTGGGGATCCGTTGCGCTAACCACGTGATACCCTTCTATCCGCTAAATATGGCACTAACTTCACCGACAAGCGACGGTAGCTCGGCCGGTATAGTTCGCTTGCGGACTACATGCCAGGAATTGATCGTTTGGTGTGTTGGTTATATATTGTCTCAAATATAGGATTTTTTTTTCTTTTTGTGTACAAAAATGTAATATTACTCTGTATTGTTCATGTATCCACATTTCCTGGCTGTTTGTATAGTTTAAATCATATCTTGTAGGATACTATATGCGTGCCCTGTATTTAGTATGTGCTGTGCATATGTAGACGTGTGTTATTGTATTTGATTGCCTGCACTTCACATGTTGTAAAGTGAAAACAGTATAAATTTATTCAATTTATATAGGAATTCTGCCAACTTAATATAAAATAGTTCACACACAATATGACGCTAAGATACAATATTCCTTGTATACACTCCCCCCCCCCACACGAGCCGTTTAGACGTTTTGGGGGCAGGAAGCCAAAGAAATGGCAAATGATCGAGAGGTGACAAGTATCATTCTGTAGATTCATATTGTTCCTTGGTTAGATGGTTATCTGATGTTCTATGGTTAAAAAAATCGAAGTCTTTCACAGGTAGAAATTATTCTGTGCACAGACATAAGTCATCACTGCCAAAATCCTTAATTTTGAGAATGTGGGAAACATCAGGCCCCAGCATGATTCGGAGGATATTATAAGGCTATCGGCGGTCGCTAGTGCATTAGGCATTTTTTAATTCGCATATGACACCATTAGAATGCATTCCTACAACCACTGCTGCTCTGTACCTGCTCTGTAAGAGGATTTCCAACACTAGAATGAACGCAGACATAAGTATGCCTGCTCCGAGTAGCCAAATCGCGAACAAGATCGTGTTCGTGTCGACTCGACGAAATTCGGTCTTAACGGAGCAGACAGGCTTAGTTGGACGCCAATGCCTGTTCATATGGCTGACTAGTCCACTCTCAACTGCTCTCCGGTATCTGGAAATTGCAACATTTCATTAATCATATTTAAAGTAGATTTCTTGTTGTCCTATGACTTTCAGAATGACTGACTGTGATTGTTTAGTGACTTCCAGAGAATTAAGGCTAGCTGCACCGAAGACAAATCTGTACGTGCCATTTTAACCGGAGCAGGCCAGTATATTAATCCGCTGTGTTGATGGCGATTATGCGAGGGTTTGAATTGAATTGCTTTGCCTTTAAGATAGCTGTGTTATGCCCTAAGGTTCTCTTTTGAGGCAACTTTACTGAAAGTTGTAATAAGGTGGAAAAAGTGGTTGGCAGTCGGAGGCCTCTATGAAGTAGGCGTGATACAACCGAAGAACAGAGGTTGAAGATGCTGAAGAGTAAGGGGCTTAGTGGAATACTTTGACCGGAGAAAGAGGAGATAGAAGGCATAAGAGGCTTAGTGGAATGTTTTGACTGGAGAAAGAGGAGATAGAAGGCATAAGGGGCTTAGTGGAATGTTTTGACTGGAGAAAGAGGAGATAGAAGGCATAAGGGGCTTAGTGGAATGTTTTGACCGGAGAAAGCGGAGATAGAAGGCATGACACACTCGCACAGTGAGGAGCTTCGTATCTTCATTAGATGTTACTAGAGTGATGGTGTCAGTGACGAGGTGGGGGTTGGGAGACAGTTAGCATGCATGCGTGGGGGAGGTACTAATATATACACAACTTCAGTCCGAAAACGTGAAGGGAAGAGACCACTTGGGAAATCTAGATGTAGGCTGTGCCAATATTACAATTCATTTTAAAGAAATAGGTCGCGGTAATGAAATGTGTTCAATGCATTCTGGATAGTGTCCAGTGGCAGACTCTTTCGAAAAGGTAATGGCTATTCTTGTTCGTATTAACGGCCGTGGGGACCCGTTGCACTGAACGCGCGGCACTCAATATCCGCTAAAGTTGGCACTAACTTCGCCGACAAGCGGCAGTTGCTCGGTCGGTATAGTTCGCTTGCGGACTCAAGCCACGGAGTTTGTTTATTCCGGTTCGTAAAATGTAGGAATTTCTTGGCCAGCCTCTCAAGATTGGCCTCGTTCAATTGAGTTACTATGTATACATATATAATATATACAGGGTGTTTCACAACTTTAGGGCATAACTGCAGGAGGTGATTTCCTAGGTCTTTGTGATCAAAATAGTTCATATAAACATGTCTGATTTTGGATGGTTACGGAGTTATGACAGTTTTAAACTCAGAATAGAAGGTAACGATTACTGACAATAAACGGAACAAAATAATAAACCAGCATAATACATGATACTTTTAAAGTATGAATGTAAAGTTAACTTCGTGAAATTACCTTTAATTTGAATTTATTGGTGCGTAAAGCAGATTTTCGAAAATGCCACCACCGACCGCAACATAGGCTGCCGCTCGGTTGTGAACCGCGCCGGACATACCAACCCACCCCGCCTTACATAACTCTCAAGTGTCGAGATAACGAGAACGCTCTGTCTGTAGCTGGCTAAAAATAGCGACCTAGGAGATCACCTGCTGCAGTTATGCCCTAAAGTCGTAAACCACCCTGTATATAGGAGATATATAGTAAACTGGGACTTACCCGTATGTGAGAAGCTCCTTTAGAGGCGAGGTTCTGGGTACAAACGGATAACATTTCTCAACTGGGAATATGAGAATCTCCGTGAGGTCACACTTGGCCCGATCTGTGAACATTCTCTCGATATCACTGTATACATTGATGGCTTCGGTATGGAAAACGAACGGCTCATTCAGTACCTTTTGCAGACCCATTTCACGTGAAAAGTATGCCGTGTGGGGAGGTGCCATCTTCTTGTGATACAATTCACGTACGAGAGGATCCGTGTTCAACTGAAAACAGGTAACACCAGGATTGACGTTCCCTTTGACAATCAAATATGGTAAAGGTAAAATTGTTCCTCGCCGGTCACGATACCCTAGCGGTCTAAGGCATGAACTCTCTCCTCTCGCTCGGATATATTTTGTGTATATAAAATAGTATAGAAGGCTTGTGATGTAGATGTAGTAAATTAATATTAATTGTTTAATCGGTGCCTCATCTTACAAAGTATTGTCCGTTCTGTAGGGAATATAAACAACGACAAAAAATATAGAATATACCAATTTGTCCGTGGGAACGCAACGAAATTACAAAACCAACGACTGAGTTGATGATATAAAACATCAATATAAGAATTTTATTCTTGTTTTATACTAAAACTTCTGTTTTTTATATAATCTGATATATTGTATTTTTACACGCACGTCAAGTGTTTTATGTAATTAATAATATTGTATACAATTTTACTAGTACTGCAGTTCAGTGGTATATATATATGTTAACCGTTTATTTGCCTGATGATGGCTATTGATAGCCGAAACATGTAGCAGAGCCGAAACTAGGCACTGATCTTGATATTTGTTGTGTTGTGACGGTTGTGATAAAGAGGTTGTGTATTGTGCTTTAGCCTTACGTAGCTAATGACGTAAAGCTGTTGAAATTCTGTTATAGGAAACATGGTTAACAGGGCTGTCACTTTTATTTGAACTCCTTCTGTGTGTTATGAGAGAGTTCATAAAGTTTGTATATGGCCGCTCCATAGCTCAAGCGATTAGTCGCTGATTTCCCACCGCGGCGACCAGGCTTTGATCCCGGGTCTGGTCAAGTGGGATTTGTGGTGGACAAAGTGGCGCTTGGGCAGGTTTTCTCCGAGTACTTCGGTTTCTTCTGCAATCTTCATTCGACCAATTGCTCCACAATTACCCTCACCTATCATCTGGGGCTGGTACAATAGGCCAGAAGTGGCCGCAGTACAAGGGACTTAGTCCCACCCCACTAACAATAAAAAAAATAGTTTGCTAGCAGAGGATACACACAAATGCAGCCCTACTCGTAGTGCTTGGTTGGGATTATTCGAGACCAGTGTCGTTAGTGCACACGGTCTTAGCGGCTCACTTTTGAGCTTTGGATGTATTGATCTTTTTAAAGGGACAAATGCCGCTGCCACCCTGCATGACGACGAACTCCCATTGGATGTCCAAGCTGATCGCACTGCAAGTCCACATGAACTGAATCTGCTTTATTACAGGACCCGGGGTTGGTGTTGGGCAAATGAAGGTAGGATTCGAACTCTGTGCCACATTAGATCAACCCGCGTTTATTAAAGTTGGCCTGGATCGCTCTAACCTCCTTATTTAATTATCCGGCAGACGCATTAAACAATTCTGCGGTTGTTGCATATGTATTCATTGCTGCGGTAACGTTTTGCTGAGGCGTTGCCTAGCAACGATAGGGGATACACATACAGGCAAACAGACTGATGGGAGAAATTTATGAAGTCGCCGTTCGGATGGGCTGAGGGCCATGATTTACATACTAAGTTTCATAAACACTGGTTTAGGCATTCAGAAGTTAATATGGGGGGATTCGCAGACACACGGACAGCCTGGTGATCTCATAACCGTACTTTTATTTATTCAAAATAATGGAAATTGGCTAAGATCAGTTGTGGAACCTAGTCTTGACATTTGTGTAGATTGTGGTAACCGTTAATGAAGATAAATTAGGCTTATTTCTTATTGAAAGTAGCCAAAGTCTAGCGATTTCGTAAATCGTAAGTATTATTTTAGGCGGACGCAAACTTAAACTTTGTGAAAGTGACTCAGTTTGGTCCCGTACTCATATTTCTACTTGCATGGGCTTAAATAAAAATGTAGTATTTTGTGGGTGTGATCTGTTGCCTCTTTTATGAAACTCTGTATGGGAAGCAATTCCTCCTTCACGAATTTACGCCCTCTGCCGTCAGAAATGCGAATATGCAGAAGACGCTTAATCATCTTATCCAGGGGAGAATGCACGAGAGTGACTAAGGTTATGCTCCTGAAATTTATAATTACATATTTTTAAATTCACTACGAATTTTCCTTTAAAAGGTTATTGGCAATCATGACTATGTATTTTTGCTTAAGATTTGAAGTTTTCACGGTAGTGAAGGTTCATGTTGACATCTGGGTTTTGACTACGTTTAGTCTAATAAATTGATAAAAAAAGTTTCGGTAAACACTATGCCTCCATCTTCAGTGTAGAAGATGAAGGCAGTATATTTTTCCGAAACTTTGGTACTCATCTACCGGATTACAGATTTTCACAATCTCACGCTATGCTATAAGCCGGAAGGTCACGGGTTCGTATCCCGATGAGATTACTATATTTTTCAGTTGACATCCCTCCAGCCGCATTATGGTCCTGGGGTCGACTCAACATCTAACAGAAATGACATAAGGCTGACAGCCTCACCACCATTTATGAGCCGATTGTCTAGAAAATGTGGGAGCCTCGACGTCTCACAATTCTACAGACCTTCATGGCCTGTTGCAAGGATAGCTTTACCTTTACCTTACAGTCTGGATTACCACGATTAGAATTGATAGGAGTCTGTTGCCTATTTAATGTACCAAGTGAATGTATTAGTATACCTCGAAATAGGGGCGGCTGTAGCTGATGTCTTCTGCACCAAAGCCAAGTGAGCTGTCGATGAGGTCTCTGGTGTTTCGGATGGACTGAGGCCTTGCCGACAACAGCGAAGACACGATGAAAGCGGAGTAATAGATATTCGTCATGAGGGCCAGGATGTGGGTGTTGAGGAACACAATGCGCCCAGTGATCCATTTGGAGTCCATCGTCGATCCTAGAAAATAATCATTGATCCAGTCAAATGAGCCTCAATCTTAGTTAAAAAAAATGTTGTTAGATAAATATAATTATTGCCGGTCACGGTAGCCGAGCGGTTTAAGGCATGTATTTTCTTCGCTCGCTTGGAAACCGGGACCGTGGGTTCGAATCCCACTCAGGGCATGGGTGTTTGTGTGCGTTTTTCTGCGTTTGTGTACAGGTAGAGTCCTTGCGACGAGCTCATCACCCGCCCAAGGAGTCCTACCGAATGTGTAAGATCTAGAAAAAACCGAAGTGAACGGAGAAGTTCATGGAGGTAGGCCTAGGCCCACTGGGGCTGTAGTGCCAAGAAAAAAAAAATATTTCTGTATTTTTTATAAAGTTAATTAGAACGAGTAATTATGCCGCTCATTATTAATGGTAATTGTAACAGTAATTAAATTATAGTTCTGTGTGTTTTGGTTTCCACATTTTTCAGTGGGAAGCAGGAGCACAGAAGAGTCTGATCCGAAGGACACGAAGTATTCCCCGAATTAAATTTGTTGCTAATTTCTTCCTGAATGTATTTTTTTCCCTTGGCTCTACAGCCCCAGTGGGCCTAGGCCTACCTCCATGAACTTCTCCGTTCACTTCGGTTTTTCTAGATCTTACACATTCGGTAGGACTCCTTGGGCGGGTGATGAGCTCGTCGCAAGGCCTCTACCTGTACACAAACACAGAAAAACGCACACACACAAACTAAACATCCATGCCTTGAGTGGGATTCGAACCCATGATCCCGGTTTCCAAGCGAGCGAAGACAGTACATGCCTTAGACCGCTCGGCTACCGCGACCGGCGAATGTAATTTTACTGGAGATTTGTAAGAAAATTGGCACACAAAGGTGGCCGTTGTAATTTACAGCACGAATCGAAGGATTCGTGATGAACATTATTAAAGTGTCCTGGTCATGGAGTAAAGAAGAAATTCGGAGACAGCGAGAAACAAAGTATTTTAAGGTGTACAGAGATGGCAGTACTGCTGCTGATGATGACGGCGGTGACAAAATCAGAAGCGAAGGCGAAGCAGTTTATTTTGATGAGAGTTCATATCAGCAGTGTAAGAAGTTGTCAGCTACCACCAATGGCCACCCGGTTTAAGGCTCATATGGTCTTGGATTATTCGAATAGGCCTACTGTGATAGTAGGTTGAAATTCAGCTAAGTGTATGGATGTATGTTGTGTTCTGTGCATGTGGTCGATGGGTTCGTACCCCGTTTAGTGTTGTCCTGCCAAATGTGTACAGAGATTTGTTGTTGCAGAATTCTAAACAGGCTATGAAAGCAGGGGATAAATAAGAAGATAAGAAAACTGGAGACATGAAAGGATTTGCTTTGTAATATGTCACTATTTCATGTTTATATTTTTTATCGTTTTAGTTTGTGAGAAACGAAGCGACGAACAGATGCATTATGATGTCATACCCTGTTGACCGATTGCCCCCATAATAATAACAAGAGTGTCGCTCCATGTCCAAGCCCCTTCCAGTTCGATGTTGCTTCTCCCCTGCAGATTGTCTTCAACAAGATACTGGGACTCGAAGAAGGAAATGAATCGGAGGGCTACCATCGTCAGGAACCAGATGAGTCCACATCCCAACCACAGCGTTGGCTTGAAGGGTTGTAAGAGAACACTAAACGACTCCGTTATTTGGGGATGCCGGAACAAACCACATACTCTGCAAACGTAATATAAAATTGCGAATTACATCACGGAGTAAGACAGGATATTGGGGGGTGCCAAAACGTAGTGTTATAAAATTAGCGGACTCTGTTTAAAGCTAACACATGGTACAGATTCTGCGAATGTAGTATCATGAGATTAGTGATTAGTGATTACACATATGATGTGATGCAACAGGCTGCGGGCTGGACGACCAAGGGGCCAAGTTCGAGTCCCGGTGGGGGCAAGAATTTTCACTCATCCATGTCGTGCACACCCACCTCCTATCCAATGGGTACCGGGGGCCCTTTCCCCGGGGATAAAGCTCCCGGGACATGAAGCTGACCACTCACCTCCAACTAATGCCGAGGTCAAGAAAATTTGGGTCCATACGTCCACTCTCCAAAACGTCTTCATGGTGTAGTGCTTTATTAGTTAAGCACACGGACAAATTTACGTATGATACGACGACATGATATCTCAGGGTGCCAGGTAATGGAATATGCCCTGCATACGGTCTTGAACCTCCCGAATACTATAATCGTAGGTTTGAATCTCGTTAGGGCAGGAATGGTGGTTTCTATATTATGTTGTCTCGTTTATAGGTGGAGGCATTGCGACAGACCGAACATTGGTCCAAAGAAAGTTCTGTAAGATATCTAAGGATTTATAATTTCAACATTAACATCAGAACAACATCAGAAACCAGGGGCCTAATCCCTGACAGTTGGAGGGGAATATGGATTAGAACTATTGACGGTTTAGATTGCTTGTAAAACTGAATCATTATATATTCAGATATTTCAGTCTACACTAACATGGGTCCATAAACAAAAAAGCATACTTCATGGCCTGTAGTCCGCAAGCGGACTATACCGACCGAGTGACCTCCGCTTGTCGGCTAAGTTAGTGCCAACTTTTGAGGATAGAGGGTGTCACGTAGTGAGCGCTATGGATTCTCACGGCCGTTAATCTCGGTTTTCTAGACCGGAGCCGCTATTTCCTTGAAGTAGCTCCTCAATTATCCTCGCAAGGCTGGATGGATCCCATTCCAGAACCACTATTTCTCAGAAAATCTGGTAGCACCGGGAATCGAACCCGGGACCTCTGAATCTGTAGCCAGGAACTCTGACCACTAGACCAGAGAGGCTGTCCATATCCGTTATATTTTATGTGTAGACCCTTTGGGGTTACGTTGTGTATATTATACTTTAGAGCAGGGAAGTTAAAACATTGGTATATCATGATACATTTGATTGCGTTAGTATCGACAGTGAAGTAGTTTTAGTGATAATGTTATTAGTGAACTATCATACCGCAATTCCCAGGTGGCCACAGGACAGTGGTCTGACATATCTATGCGATGGTGGTTAAGCTTCAAGGCAGAGATGCTCACGTCGGCTTCTCCGTACTTCATCATATGAACCAGTCCCACAGGTTTGCCATCTTCCACAACGTACCCGAAATTATTTGTATGGAGTATTGTTTTCCTGAAAAGAAAGAACGCAAAATTACTCTGAGAACAGATTCACAAAATTCGTTCCCTGAGACTTTGCAACTTTGTATACTCTTCTTAATATCTCTATATGCCTGTGTATGGACGCTATGGGCCAACTTAGACAATGAGGTTACTAATTTTTACTTTCCACCAATTATTCTTCGGAGCACACGGTAACGTAGTTGGTTGAGACACTAAGCTCAAAGGCGGAAGGTCGCGGGTTCGAGTCCTGATGATTAGGTGACTGGATTTCTCAATTAACCTAATCCTTCTAGCCGCACTATGGCCCTGGGGTCGACTCAGCCTCTAACCGAAATGAGTGCCATAAATCTTACTAAGGGATAAGGGGTTAAGGCTGACAAACTCACCGCCATCCGTGAGACGATTGTCTAGAAAATGTGGGAGCCTCGACGTCTCACAACGCTATGGGGCTGCACGATCCTTAGAGGGATAGCTTTACCTTATACAGAATAAGAAGAATCAGCAGGATATGCAGCAGTGCATGTAAGAGATGAGAAATGCATGTAATGTGTTAATTTTGGAAACCGAATGGAAAGACCACTTGCGACATTCGGGTGAAAATTAATGTACAAATCAAAGCTTAAGTAATTAAGCACTACTACATGAAGACGTATGGGGGAGTGTGAGTATAGCTCTACCAGTCTTCACCTCGGCACTAGATGGAGAACCTATACCCTTCACTTTATATTCTTATTGCGATGAAACCAAGGATTAGAATGATTGGCCTTCACTGCGTGTAGAGGTAAAGGGAGTTCACACTTCTTGTTACCGGGTAACCGCAAGTGAACGTCTAGTTGTAGGCGAGAGTTTCTCTTAGATACATAGTATGGGATTTGTCTCTGATTGTTTTTGACCTAATTGTTCTGGCTGAAGATAGTGTCTAGTGTTACACATTTCGTGTGTTTTTCGCAGTATCCTGCGTACCTGTCACGCTCTACCAAACCAAACATGATCTTCTGTTTAAACTTGCTTGTAACACTACATTCTACTGTAATATTTTTAGGAAAGTCTCAACAGAACGACAGTTATAAGGCGTATGTATAATGCATCTAGTATAAACATAATTTTGTAGGACTTCACCTTAATTTGGAAGAATTGTTACTGTTAATGCCTGCGTTGATTTCGAAAGGACGCCCAACTCTTATTGGTTGCGCACTATACAGTCCGTCCCTTTTATGCTTTGCCACTATACATATTTTTTTTTATTTCGTTCTCATTGTTATCTGTTGTTATATGAAGCTCACTATGGCTGCTTCCTCTGTATCAGTTCAATAAAAATAATTAAATTTAATTCCTCAGTGGGTATCGCAATTATATCAGACAGGTTGGCTAAATGGCAGCGCGGCTTCAGAAGGTAAAGTAAGTACACTTGGTCGTCGACTTACGACCGGCCGCACTTACGGCCACAAAAAAAAAAAATTAATTAATTAATTAATAATAAATCAGGATATTCTGCTGAAGCCTGAGGACACGCCAGGCAGCTGTGCGTACCATAACTCTGGGAGCATCCGGCAACACAGGCCTCCCACACACGCAGGCATCCTCTCTCTCTCTCTCTCTCTCACATACACTCAGTTATTTCTGTATTTAAAATGAAAACTAAAATATGATTAAAATGTAAAAGTTTTTAAAAATAAATTAGAAAGATGATAAAAAGATTAGGAAAGTTAAAAAAATAGTGTTAATAAATATATGGCAGACATACGACCAGATTGACTTACGACCTGTCAGTCAGAACGGAAGTCGGTCGTAAGTCGACGACCAAGTGTAAAGTAAAGTAAAGCTATCCCTGTAGGAGTTCGTGAAGGCCCATAGGGTTGTGAGACGTTGAGGGTCCCACATTATCTAGACAATCAGCTCAAAGATGGCGGTAAGGTTGTCAGCCTTACGCGCCGGCCGAGCTTTACTCCCCAGGAAAATTATATAATTAATTCCTGGTACTCATTTCTGTTAGAGGCTGAGTCGACCCCAGGGCCATAGTGCGGCAGGAAGGATTAGGTCAGTTGAAAAAAATCCAGTGACTTCATCGGGACTTGAACCCGCAACCTTCCGGCTTGTAGCATAGTGCCTCAACCAACTACGCTACCGCGTAGGTAATGGGCTCAAACGTTGGCCGAGCTACCGGCTAAAATGATTGAGGTTCTTCTTGATTTTCGTGGTTTTCGTCAGATAAGCGAAGTGAGTTCATTCGAGGTTCAGTGTGTGAATGTACTGTGTAAAATACATCATTCTGAATGTTAAACTCACGAAAAATTATACATTTGCTGCATCAGAAGGAATCCTTTATAATTGTACGTGGCCATGGAATCCAGGTCTCTGTTTTCGGGTTTAACCAGTTCCTCTTCTAAATTCTTTGTCGGGATATTGTTCACCTAGGAAGAAAAGAATATTTGATATGTACTAAGTGTGAATATTTATGGCGGTGGTTCCGAAACTGTCCTGGGTCAAGGTCCTCGTCACTGGAATCTAGCAGAAGCGGCTATTTCCTAAGTTACGAGAAAAATAAATTTAGAGGATACGATTTTCTCACTGCTACATATTTCTTGCAATCTCTTATATAGTTTGTGTTTTATTTAAATTTTATCTTTGGTGTGGTTTAATTTTGTAATTGGCCACTGTCTGTTAAGTTATTGCACGTAAATAAACATGAATTGAATTTAATTGAATTATATTCTCACCGCATTACTGTTGGTGTCCTTGAGTAGCTATCGTCTGAATACTCCACGTTACCTTGATATGTCTTTTGTTTGTCTCATTGCTCGAGCTTACTTTATAATTGGCCTTTAGACTGTTTAGTAAATAAATAAGTAAAGTAGGTAAAGTAACGTTACCCCTCTGCTTAACTACTTAAGCACTACGCCGCGAAGGCGTATGGGGGAGTGGATATATAATCCACATTTTCTTGACCTCGGCACTACCTGGAGGTGAGTGGTCAGTCCAGGCCGCTTTACCCCTTAGAAAAGAGCCTCCGGTACCCATTGGATAGGCTGGATGGACCCCAGAGCCGGTCTGGAAGACGTGGAAAAGAGAGAATTCTTGATCTTACCAAGATTCGAACTCTGACCCCTCGGTCGTCCAGCCCGTAGCCAGTGGCTGTACCGACTGCGCTATACCGGCTCCTAAATATACAAGTAAATAATAATAATAATAATTATTATTTTCTGAGGTGTGCTTCGCGAACTGAAAAAGTTTGGGAATTGCTGACTTATGTCATCAGTTTTTGTTGCTTAGTTTTGAAGATGCAACGCGTGGAATGACCAATGGAAAGACAGGACCTCACCATAATGTATTCGTTGTATGCATAAAGACACATTAAAATAAAACCTTGTGGATTTAATTGAGTTGTAGAAAATGAAAGCATTTAAAGGCCTGTTAATCACACTGTTCGGTTGAAATTCTATTGGAGTGACTGACGTCATGCAGTAACTTCTCCTTTAGCAGTAATAACCTGTTTAGGTCTGTGTGTTTTATTCAGTGAAGTAAATTGGAATATAAGTTAATTTAAGGACCTATATCGCAAGAACATGGTGTTTAGTGGATTTGGGGCCTATGTAATTCAGATTTCAAGATAAACAGGTAAATATTAATAACTTCATGTTTTATGCACCTGAAGCATTTTAAACGCTTGGCACGAATTTGACGGATATCTTATACTCACCACAATAGCTGCTCTGTAAACAATTCCCCTCAGATCCTTTCTTCGAGAATATTTATACTGGGTCAAATTGAAGCTGATGCCCTCTTTGGGGGTCCAGTGTCCCGCCAGAGTCCCGTTTAATGGCCAGCTGTAATTGATCTTGTAGAGGTCGTACAAAATAATTCGATCCGAAAACGTTTCCGAGTGCGCCCAAGTCATCTCTGTGTCCACATTCAAGTTGAGATTCTCTGCCTCGATCGTGTACTTATATTTGCTCCAAACCAACCAATTGAAACTGGCGTTTATAAACCGTCTTGCCGAGTTCTGCAAACATTTGGAAATAGCATAAGATTGTCCTTAAAATACAAATTTAATTTTTTATTGCTAGTGGGGTGGGACTAAGTCCCTTGTATTGCGGCCACTTTGGCCTATTGTACCAGCCCCAGATGATAGGTGAGGGTGATTGTGGAGCAATTAGTGGAATGAAGATTGGCAGGGGAAACCGAAGTACTCGGAGAAAACCTGCCCCAGCGCCACTTTGTCCACCACAAATCCCACTTGACCAGACCCGGGACCGAACCCGGGCCGCCGCGGTGGGCAGCCAGCGACTAACCGCTTGAGCTATGGCGCGGCCATTAAAATACAAATAACTAAAAACCCCAAAATATTAAGGTGGGCCAAAAATTCAGCTGTAGTTTAATTAACTTCACATGTTGTGACTTAGACAGGAACTAGTATCCTGGCGGTTTACGGGTTCAGATTAAAACTAAAGTTCGGGATCATGAGCGTGTTTACTCAGAGTTCTCATAACACATTGCTGTTGTATTTTGCAAATGTGGAAATCTTCCAGTCTTTTGATTGCGTCAGAACGTGGCAATACCAGTCATGGCGATACGAAGAAGCCCTGATGATGGTGTTGCTGAGGTATCAAAATGTCCAGTCAGTTTCAGGAATAACTGCAGAGTGTGTATGGAATAGGAAATGCTAGATCTCCTGACTCCTGATTGGTTAACATCTGACGCAACAGTGAGCGAGACGCGCCAGGCGCTGGTCGTATATTCAAATATCTAGAACTAGTAAATAACCGAGAAACTTATTTCTGCACATACTATTTCAGTGTGAGTGGTTAATCTGTTTTTGTTTATGACATAGGTCTAGAAAATTACTACATATATTAACTAGCTTTCTGCGTTTTGTACGACGGAAGTATATTCTTACTGCGTACCTTCCTATTCATGTAATACCAGCAAAAGGCAAATCATGTTGGTGTCACAATACGAGGAGAAATAACGTTATAAGAAGTTCATACATTCATGTATCTATCTATCTAACTATCTATCTATCTATCTATCTATCTATCTATCTATCTATCTATCTATCTATCTATCTATCTGTCTCTATCCTTCCACCCATCCGTCCATCTATCTACCTATCCCATCCCACCATATCCTATCCGTGGCTCTACATCCCTTGTGGACCTTGGCCGCTTTTTCAATTTCTTAATCTGCACACGGTCAGTAGGATTCATTAGACGGTGCATCAGCACGTTGCAAGGCCGCTGCCTACACACAGACATCGATGCCTCGAGTGGGATTCGAACCCACGATCCGAGTGTTCGAGCGAGCGAAGACAGTTCATGTCTTAGACGGCGCGACCACTGTTATCGGCACTTTCATGAACACTTTACTGAAATAACACTTTGTTTAATCGATGATAGTTTTCTATAGGATTTTTTGGGGCGGAGAGGAGTTTCTTCTCATTTGCACATGTACCTATTCTCGTGTGTATACGTAAGATGGTTTATGGCTATGTATGCTTGAATGTATGTAGTATGTATATCTGACTGTGTGTTTGTAATGTTCGCGCACCGTAGTGCTTTCCACTTGCATGTAGTTGGGTATGTTCGAAGCCACGGCTTATATGGAATTCGATATTAACTTATTTCCAGATGCAAATGGAGGAAGGCCCAGAAATAAGGTGGAAATGTAATGAAGGATGAGTGTATGAAAGAAGTTATCCCCGTTTGAATTTCAGCATGTTTTTCTACTGCTTGCACCCGGGACCTCCTGAATACGAAGTCGTAAGCTCTCGACCGTAACGTTCGGTACTGCTGTATAGTGGTTTAGATTAATACACAGGGATTTTCTTCCGTAAAGTTGCCTGTTCAAGATGCACTTTAGATGTTATTACGTGACAAAAGTAGGAACACTTACCTCGGAAAGATACAGCTTGCTTACTGTGCAGTCGTAGTCAAGAAAAACTCCGAATTTATAGTATCCGGTCTTCATGATGCGCTGTAATTGTGGAGTAACCGGCTGCTCCGGGTCTGGTGATACCGTCCAGAACTTTTTCGACGACATTAGAGACTTAGTGAATCGGACAGTGTCTGCAGCAATAAGAATAGAGAATTGCGACAACGACTGTGGTGGCACAGCTGTTTGGGTCCCGGTTGCTAACTCTTTAAACATGGGAATGTTACCTGAGCTGATTTCCGCTCCTGAATTCGTAGAACGTAATTTAATATAGTTAGTTATTGGAGAGGGTGAGTTTCCCCATGCACCGCGACCAGTTTGATCTATTGTGCTTCCCTCTATGATATTCTACCAGTCTCTATACCCTACGGATACTGGTGCTTACCATCAGTCCCGACCAAGCCAGCGAGTTCGGCCTCTACTGGCTTAGCGGTATCTATAATGCTTCCCCCATCTATCAGAGGCGTTAGAGACTACTGTTGGGCGGGAAATGTCCTTGAATTTGGCTCAGTGACCGCCTTTGGAGATATGGGGTTCTTTTACGTGCCGTAAAGCTACGACACGGGACCCACGGCTTAAAGTCCCTCCCGGAGGACTTGTTCACTGAATTTTTCCACCCTTAAAAATTCTACGACCTCCGCCGGGTTTGAACCCGCGTACTACGAGTCATGAGGTGGGAACGTTACCTCTAGACTGCGGAGGCAGCTTAATTTGATATAAGTTATGCTCTTAAAAATCTTTGGATAAATTAATACCCGCTAGACGTGTATCTCTTATTATTCGGTACTGTGTAAGATTTATTATGTAAAGTTAAAGTGTAATTGTCTTAAATGGGCGGGTCTTTATAGACGAAAAATCAGAAGCTTACCTATAAAAGAAAAGAACAAAATTACATCTGTTTAAAGAAAGCGCCAAGGAAAAAAAAACGGCCTCTGTTGTCTAGTGGTCAGAGTTCCTGGCTACAGATCCAGAGGTCCGAGTTCTATTCCCGGCGCTACCAAATTTTCTGAGAAATAGTGTGTCTCGAACGTGGTCCACTCAACCTCGTGAGGATAGTTGAGGAGTTATTTCGAGGAAATAGTGGCTCCGGTCTATAAAACCGAAATTAACGGCAGTGGGAATTCGTTGCGCTGACCACGTGACACCGTCTATCCGCAAAATGTTGGCACTAACTTCGCCGACAAGCGGCGGTCGCTCGGTCGGTATAGTTCGCTTGCGAACTACACGCCACGGAGTTTGTTTGTATTGCTAAGGAAAATGTTTGAGCCAAAAGAGGACGGAGAGTGGAATGCATTGTATTAGATAATGAGAAACTTACTTATTTATACATGTTTCTTGTAATCGTTAGGTTAGTGAACCAAGATATACGTAGGTTCTTTATATGAGAAAATCTTTCATAAAACTACCCACTTCTAAGACATATAAAGGCCGCGCCATAGCTCAAGCGGTCAGTCGCTGGCTTCCCCCCGCGGCGGCCCTGGTTTGATCCCGAGTCTGGTCAAATGGGATTTGTGGTGGACAAAGTGGCGCTGGGGCGGGTTTCCCCTACCAATCTTCATTCCACCAAATTCTCCATCATCATAATCACCCGGGGCAGGCTACGATAGGCCAATCAGTAGCCGCCGTGCCGAGTGGACCCACTTGGACTCCACACCCCACTAAGCGAATTAAAAAAAAAGACAGAATGAGATTGGGGGTTAATGTTAAGATGTATCTTAGCGAAATTCGTTGCAGTACGGAGGTGGAATTGTCTGATTCATTGCAAGAATTTGATATTATCTCTGTTTACTTTTCCGATTTTACAGCCGAAGGATCGGTATAATATTACTGGAATTTTTTTAAAACCTAGAAACATTACTACTATGTCATACGCACCGTATTTTGAGCATGTAAAGCAGGAGATGATGCGAACATGTTTGAATGCAAAGTAATCTTCAACAAATTTTAATGTTTCTTCTTGCAGCTGAGGAGTAACGAAACATGGCATTAATAGTAAAATCCAAGATATTTCCAATGCCTGTATCTCCTTTCTTTCCATAATAGGCGAACCAACAATTTTCTTTGGCAGATTTATGCTTCTTGAGTTTGCAGGACACACCTTGCTCGTCTGCTTCAATTTTTGCAGTATGTAGATATAGAATACAAGAGAAAGATACACATTAATGCATGTTCTTGTGCAGATCCACGTCTGATTTGATATGTGACATGAAATAAATGTAAGGTTTACTTAGATATTAATGAACCATTAAGAAATAGCCTAATGTTGTTTGCCGTGTGTAAGTGCCTGTAAATGAATAAATTGAATGTGTAAATATTCGTTTTATAGATGTAATGAAGAAAGAAAACAATAATTTATTGTTGCAGTAAGAGGACGGTAACATTATGTCTTCCAGACGTTTTATTGTTCAGCTTGAACATGTTTGAATATCAGTGCAATTTAAATGAGCATGAAATTTCTTTTGAAAATTGGCATGGCAGCGAATACATTATAATGCTGGAATTTACCATGCTCAGCTACATTGTGTGTCAAGCTGTTTGCCCGTTCTGGAATAAAACTTCCCTGCCATATCTTTGTTGTGCGTCCCTAGTATCTTCTTCACTTCGGTTTACATTGTTTAAACAGCTTAGGGATTCAGTTTTCAGAGGTACATTAAGAATATTTTAGCTGTTTCTTTTGTTAGTCTTTTTACTGCTGTACTGATATCTGCTATCAGCAGTCCTCTGATATGTTCGCTACATTTATGAGTGTCATTCTGCATCCTGCGGTCACTTTGGCGAAAGGCGTTTATACCTCCTACATTTCATATATAATTATTCACAATACACTTGGTCGTCGACTTACTACCTATGCGAATTAGGACCGGCCCCACTTACGACCACAAAAAATGGAAAATAAAAGTGATTAAAATGTATAAATTTTTAAAAATAAATTATAAAGATGATAAAAAAATTAGAAAGGTTAGAAAATACCGTTAATAAATATATGGCCCTCATACGACCAGATCGACTTACGACCTGTCAGTCAGAACTGAAGTCGGTCGTCAGTCGACGACCAAGTGTATATCACCGCTAGTTGTGTATAATAAAACAAGAAACCTGTAAATTTCTCTGTATTAACTTTTACGTTTTTATTTGCGAGATAGGCAAAAGATTTTGAACTTAATGGTAGCAAGAACTAACCTAATTATTGTTTTTTCTCAGTTCCTTCGCGTATGTAGCCTAATATTAATTTCTTACCTTCATTCCCATATATTTTAACTTCGCCACATTTTCGAAGAATTTCTTACTCCTTTCTCTATGTTTTCACTTCCCCTCCTACTGTATACATTGGACAGGAAGCTAGATAGGCCCCAGAACCGGTCTAAACGACGTGGAGAAACGTCTTACCCCTACCTTGACTCGAACTCCGACCCCTCGGTCTTCCAGCTCGTATCCAGTTGTTATACCTACTGCGCTATCACGCTGTTTAGCAGTTAAAATAATACGTGCATTATTGTTATAATTGTTATAATTCGATGTTTTTTTGAAAATGAAGTAATCTTCAACGAATCTAGTTACAATGTTGTCTGGAGTCTGAAGTTACGAAGAGAAATGAACGTGGTAACACATGCTATTCTCCCTTTATAGGAAAAAGATGAACAGCTTTCACAGCAGATAGTTTAACCACTGCTGTTACGATTTCAGCAAATAACATTTTATACGTTCTATCTTTTGTCTCAGAATACTTCAGAATTAATTCGAAGTGCCTATGAAGATGTGATAATGAAGCAGAACTAATTATTTTTTCAGGAAACTGTATGATAGGCCTCCATATTTTTCAAATAACTTTTGACATATAATTATTTTGCACCCTTCCAAGAGTCTCAATTTTATTGTACCTTTGGTTATCTCTGTCATACTTTGTCATTATGGACAGGATAACTTTTTATACCCATGTCATTTAGAGCAGACAGCTCGCATTATCACTCGAAATCAAACTCATATATCAATTCTTTTGAAGTGAATTGTCTCTTTGATACACAATTTACGTGCAGCGAATCGTAGTTTGGCATAAACACCGATTATAACAAGACGTAAGACGGAAAAACTGATTGACGAAAAGTCGCAGTTGTATAGAAAACTCTTTTTATACCCGCTTTAATGGATCAGGTGAATTGAGACAATTTTGAAAATTCATACGATTATATACGGTTTATGCGTTCAGAAATGTTAGTGTCAGGAGTTTGAGAACATATAACTTCAAATATCAGTCGTTCCTGAAAACCAAAATTTGACATCTTTTATGAATTTTAAAATTAGAAACACCCCAAAATTAAAAAAAAAAATAGAAATATCTAACGGGAAGTGGACGCACAACGGTCTGATGAGCCACCCAATCAATTATAATCTAACATAGTCCATCGTAATTTCCCAAGCTTTGCCGGAATGCGCACGCAGAAGTTCAGCCGTGTGTTGCACTAACCTAACCTTTCCTATCATGAGTGATATCCAACTCACTTCCCGCGTTCACCGTTGTCATTGCGTATTATAGGAAACTGGAACATGCGGCGCTGGGCTGCCCTTCACTGAGATACAGAGTTTCTTGAGAATAGGTCATGTGGTTCAAAGGTTGAATTTGGACACGGCTATTGGTTATTCAGTAGTTCGTTGGTTAGGTATGAAGGTAAGTAGGTATGCAGATAGGTGTATTTTGCTAGAAAGTTGAAATGTCTTTTGAAGGCAGACAGAATTCAGTTTCCCAGTGTGTAATGTACGTTAGATCTCAAAATTGGCATTTATACTTGTTCAAACGGAATTTTCCCTATTTCTGTATTTTTCTGTCGAACACTCAATTAGTGTCGTATTTCCACCGCGGCGGCCCGGGTTCCATCCCAGGTCTGGTCAAGTGGGATTTGTGGTGGACAAAATGGCCCTGGGGCAGGTTTTCTCCGAGTACTTCGGTTTCCCCTGCCAATCTTCTTTCCACCGATTGCTCCACAATCACCCTCACCTATCATCAGGGCTGGTACAGTAGGCCAGAATTGGCCGCAGTACAAGGGACATAGTCCCACCCCACTAGCAATAAAAAAATTCAAGGCTTTCAGGTTGACATAGTATGTGTGCCGTTCGGAGAAGGCACGAAATGGACGACTGATTAGAATTCAGCGGTTCTTATCATCATGACAGGTTACGTCAAACAGCTAGAACATTAACACTGGTAGTAAATGCGTTTAAAACACATGTTCTCTTCATAGTCTACACAGACAGCAGTTTTATCGTCACTAGATAGTTCATTGCGTTGGTATATTTCTTCAGCGCAAATGTGCGCTAAGTTCCACGGATTGACATAATTTTATTTCAACTCTTTATCCTCATGTTCTAGCCTGGCAATACTAGTAGCGGAACCTCGGTGACCGATCAGCCACAACCCATGAGTTCCCTTGCTGTGGAACTCTTGTATACTCCTGGAATAATTACACAATTTAAGTGGAGATTCTGCTCCCTCCATTACTAAATCGTCTTTGGCTTTTATTCCTCTGCTGACCATCACCTTGAATTCAGGTCGTTATTTCATTGGATACAGAAGACACTGGATCACCCTGTAGCGCAGTTGGTTGAGGCACTGTGCTACAAGCCGGAAGTTCACGGGTTCAAGTCCCGATGAGATGGATTTTTTTTTTTCAAATGACATAATCCTTCCAGCCGCACTATGGCCCTGGGGTCGACTCAGCTCTAACAGAAATGGGTACCAATGATCTTCCTGGGGGGATAAAGGGCGGCCGGCACTAAGGCTGACAACCTTACCGCCATCTGTGAGCCGATTGTCTAGATAGTGTGGGACCCTCAACGTCTCACAACACTACGACTGGCAATGTTGCCAATCAGATGCGCGTGCTTTATGGCCACCGGGTAAAAAATGATTCGGCCACCGACCTACATATATCCATGGCATTCGTGGGCCGTGTTTTTCTCAACCTTCAACGCGAAAGAGAGACTTTCAGCATAAAAATTTATTCTTATCTCACATTCGAGCCTTCAAGTGGGATTCCCATGAACTCATTGCAGCTGTCGTGGGCCAGACGTTACATTACACACACACACATACACACACACACACACACACGCATAGTTCAATTTATATATTGCTATTTATATCTCACCATGCAGTCGAATGTATGTCTTTTCTAAATGCGTTCTCTGCTACTCTGCACAATTCTTTGGCCATGGGCAAGCAAGGAAGGTACCGCACCTCATAGAGTTGGATATTGTTTACCCTGCGTTTTGTTATATTTTTACTATATCGAAAATTTTTTCACATAACAGATGGCGAATTTGATGTGCCAATTTTGAGAGATTTTATAAGATAGATATGCGCTATGATACGCATTAGAATATACCTGTAACACCATAGTGCTGTTATTTTGACAAATTTTATTGTTGAATCCCGGCACCAAATTTAATCGACATCCTGCATTGCTTTCGGAGATTAAAGTTTTGTATGTATGGACACCAACTCCTGGTTATGCGTTTAATTTTTGCATACTTTGCAGTAAACTAGTGGATTAATAAGTGTTCCCATATCAGTGACTGGCCCCGAAAAGGATAATGTGACAGGATATGTATGAATTCAGTTTTACATAGGAAACGGGTAGAATAAAACATTTTATTTTGTGTAGGGTTTATTTGACGTCAGATGAGACTACACTACGAATATGCTCTGTATACTAAAATGGACGAGGAAGGAAGCCACTGTGGTCGCCAAGAAAGCACAACACTGTGCATCATTAGCCTCAGTCGACTGATGTAAACCACGAAGAATCGTAGTGTGTCCGGTGCCCACGCCGAGATATGGATCGAGCTATTCCCGAATTGACCGACCGAGCGATCGCCGCTTGTCGGCGAAGTTAGTGTCAACTTTAGCGGCTAGAGGGTGTCACGTTGTCAGCGCAACGGTTCTCCACTGCCGTTAGTTTCGGGTTTCTAAACCGGAGCCGCTATTTCCTTGAAATAGCTCCTCAATTATCCTCACGAGGCTGAGTGGACCCCATTCCAGACCCACTGCTTCTCACAAAATCTGGTAGCGCTGGGAATCGAACCCGGACCTGTGGGTCTATAGCCAGGAACTCTGACCACAGACGTGGTCGGTGTAGTTCGCTTGCGGACTAAGACCACGGATTTTCATCCTTTTTGTTCCCGAAATGAAGACTGACGAATTGCCGTTGTGCCAGTTCATTCAATAACTTTTTTGAAAGAAAAATGATCGGAATTCGTATGAAGGATCAAATGTTAGGGGGGCAGCCTGAGTTGCAGGAAATAAGCAGTGTGCTTTTCGGCTGTTTTAATGTAACAGCGTTTGTATGGAGGTGCTTATAATTACGCTGAAAGTGAAAGTCTAGACTTCGTTCATGTGTTTTGTGAATTAGTGACATTGCCGAGGAGCCAAGTCGCGCTTCTCTCGTATTTGGTGAAGATCTAGGCGATAGGAAGTACATAATAAATTGGGATTTGAGGACCTAAAGGGAAGGGACGTTAAGGGAGGAACATACACGTAGACAGGGTGTTTGAGAACAGGGTGTTGAGAATATTTGGACCGAAGAGGGATGAAGTGACAGGAGGTTGGAGAAAACTGCATAATGAGGAGCTTCATAACTTGTACTGTTCTCCAAGTACGAATATAATTAGAATGATCAAGTCAAGGAGGATGAGGTGGGCAGGGTGTGTAGCACGAATGGGAAGAAGAGGAATGCATATAGGATATTGGTAGGAAAGCCAGAAGGAAAGACCACTGGGAAGACCAAGATGTAGTTGGGTGGACAATATTAAAATGGATCTTAGAGAGATAGGATGGGATGGTATGGATTGGATTGATCTGGCTGATGATAGTGACCAGTAAAGGGCTCTTGTGAACACGGTAATGAACCTTCGTGTTACATAAAATGCTGGTAAATTCTTGAGTAGCTGCAGAATTGGCTTCTCCTCGAGAAGGGCTCAACTCCATAAGTAAGTAAGTTAGTAAAGGGAAGGGATATCTTGCGAGAACTAGGTGTATATTGGCGAATAATATTAAAAAGTACGCTTAAAGAAAGAAGATTTGGTGGTATTGAGCCATTTGGTGTAATACAAACGTTTCTGTGCACGTCGACTGAAATAGATGCTGTAACCGAAATACTTTGTTACAGGGAAGTGAACACCGTTAAGATGGCATCACCGAAGTGCAGAAGCGGAGTTCCATCTCTTCATAGTCTTTGTTGGAGAACAGAAGTTGCTGAACAGGTGAGTTATGTCGCAAGAGATCAAACTGTTTATGCAAACCATACTAAGGCATGGTATATATTTCTTTTATTATTTAAATTTGAAAACGCCACCACAGTGTCCATGCTCATTGCCGGTGTAAGCCTAAGTGCCACCCCAAAAGACAAAAAATTCTGCTGCCCCCTCAGTTTGAAACAAAGTAGCTGTGTCAAAACTTCGTCATAATTAATAACAAGAAATTTTGAGACACTGCGTTGAAAGCCATTTGTGTTATAATTCTCAATAAAATTGTTATATTTACATTGTTATATAACAGGCACTAATTAATGGTCTCGATATGGGCAAAAGAACAGAATAAATTAATATCAACGTAACAACAAAAATAAATTAAGATGTTCATCAAATTTGCAACCTTAAACGGCCTCTTAGTTTCGCCTGTGTTGTCCCTGGTCCTATTCACGCGTAATATATAATCTGTTTACTGTCGAGTTTCATATTGTCACGATTTATGGTCGTGACTAATAATAACGGGGTTTTGATTGAATGATTGGATTTGTTAACACCTTCTTTACAATCACTCATAATCACAATAACTTAACAATAGTAGCTCTTCAGCTGAACCCTTCTTCCTAGACTGCCGAGGACTCGCTGTATTCTTGTTCTGATTTCATTCTGTTCTGTACTACTTATATAGTCTCAAGGCGAGGCCGCGCCATAGCTCAAGCGATTAGTTGCTGGCTTTCCACCGCGACGGCCCGGGTTCGATCCCGAGTCTGGTCAAGTGGGGTTTGTGGTGGACAAAGTGGCGCTGGGGCGGATTTTCTCCGAGTACTTCGGTTTCCTCTTCCAGTCTTCATTCCACCAAATTCTCCATGATCATAATCACCCGGGGCAGGTACAGTAGGCCAATCAGTGGCCGCAGTGCCGAGTGGACCTAGCTGGACTCCACCCCTCACTAGTCTCGAGGCGGATCCATAGAAAACATCGCTTCCTCTGTTGTATTTACAGCGCCATTACATAGCAACGGAAGTTGTCCGACTGTTGCCGCGGAAGTATGTTTACCGAGTCGTTGGCAAGCAATTGGTCTTCATGTCACAATATTAATAAGCAACAAATAACTCCAGCTAGACATGTGAAATTTCTCACGGGGACAGATCACATTTTGACTCTATTTGAAAGCAGTTAATATTTTAACGTGTTTTGCGAACATGGAATCGACTCGGAAGTTCTGTATAGGAACAAGTCACTAATATGTGTATACTCGTATATAGATTTATAACGCTCTGTGGTCTCCATATTTACATTTATTTTGGTTTTATGTCTGTAACTGTAACTATTAAACCTGTAGCTGAGAAGTCTGTTACTTGTACATCCAGATACAAAACTGCATGTCGTATCTGCTCATGTATTCCTAACGTCGAACTGCAATACAGATTTTCCCTAAACATAGTATTTTAGGGTCTCGAAGTCTGCTTGCACTGTACTACCATTTATTTTGCGTTGTGTCTGTGACACTTTTTTTTTAAATAGGAATATAAGAGCATAGTGATTGTGACAAAATCTTCCAATTTCCGAATTGCCATTTGAAGTTTATGGTCTGTTAGTGACCAACAAATTTAATGCCACCACTTAAAACTGTGACAGGCTGTGTTAATGAATTGCCACTTAGCTTCGTGTCCGTATCATTATTGAGATGTTTCGCAGTATAGTAGATGTCCCTGCATATAGATAAGGCGTAATAATAAAAGCGAGACATATAAGAGGAGGTCATGCAATATTTGCTTGGAAATTCCCAGGGTACAGGCACATAACTCTCGTTTGGAGAGATCAGAATATTCGTCACGTGACATATCCGTTTGTCTCTCAACGTTTTTGTTTCTAATTTGTGGAGTATGGCTTCAGTGTGAAACGTGAAGAGCTTGCAGGCCAGATTCATGTAAGTACTAATCTATATATAGGACGGTAAAGATAAACGGTAAAAAAAATGTCAGCTGGGACTTGAAATGAATTCATACGGCTTCCAGACTGCGCTGACCATAAACATTTATTGCCCGGAAACATGAATATCAGAAGGAGAAACACAGATGCTAGTAAGGTGGTTGGTACACAAATAAACGCAAACGAATCTATGCCCCGTCAGCGGAATTCAGGGAGAGTAATCACGTAAAGATAGGAGAAGTTCATGGAGGTAAGCCTAGGCCCCCTGGGGCTGTAGTGCCAAGGAAAAAAATCATGTAAAGATATGAGATAAATCATTCCAGCATGTGACGAAGTGCAAATATCTGGGAATGACAGTAACAAAGTAAAATTGTATTCACGAAAATGCTAGAGCAAATTAAATTGAGGAAGTCTTGCCGTGATTTAGTCCAGAATCATCACGCTTTATATCTAAAAGTTCAAAGGTTAGGATGTATAAAATTATAATTGTGTTTCCTAGGTCATCCTAAGGGAAGAACACAGATTGAGGGTGTCTAGGAACAGACTGTTGAGGAAAATATTTGGAGGTACGAATAACAGGAAACTGGAGAATAATGCCTTGTACTCTTTCTTATTATTAGGGCCAATCAGTGAACGACCATAGGATGGGATGGACGCATCATGGACATGGGAAATGCAATCAAAATTTTATAAACCCTCCAATGTCACTCTTTGGCTCATTCGTCCACTGGTACCTTAACATTGCCCTGTCTCAAGAAGTGATAAAATTATTGAACCTAGTGAAGTGGAATTTTTCAGGCACGAATCCTCTATTTCAAGGCATTACCTGGAGTGATGTAGGAAACCAAGAAATGGATTCAGGGTAGCCGGTAATCCGACAAATGTTCACATCGACACCATCATGATACATGTCAGGTACATCAAAGAGGATCCATTGCTGCTGTGTCCCCAGGTATCGACGGCTTTCACAACGCTTTTTGGTTTAGCTTGCAGCAGAAAGCGCGAAATAACCAGCTGGGAAAGCCAAAGTGAACTCAAGCAGCTTAACTTTAACAGGACCATACATCAATGTGGCCGAATGAGCCGACTAGGTGCGGGCTGTTCGATTCCGAGCAGGCTGTTCGGCTTCTCTTCTTTCCTCCCCATGTCCTGCCCTGCTTTGGGTTTCACTCACATAAGTAAAACGGCCACCCCTCATTTATTGTCCAGATACACAATGAATAATTTACTCTCACTCCATTGTAATTACTTATAGGAGCAACGTATTCACTCCCTGTAGTTACCACAGCTATTAATTACTGTACTAGAAACCTGATATACAGAATATTCAATTGAAACGGAAACTTACTGCGAACAGTTGGGCGGCCATAGTTTGATGTTTGATCGTGAAGAGAACGGCCGAGTAGTCGTCCCTGCCTGCATCGCTGTCCCTGTATCCCTTATGTTTTTATCGCCTATTTACTGTGATCAGCAGGGAAGCCCGCAATGCAAGCGGGGAAGGCCCGTTGGCTGTAACCTCTACAATCACACAGTAAACGACTGTCGCTTTATCATTAGCAGCAAACTTCCCTTTCATTTGACCGCACTGTATAATTTCCACACATAGACAAGGCTTGGATCTCCGGCATACGCCGTGTTATTACTGGCACCAAACTTCTGTTTCATTTGAACGCACTATATAATTTCCACGCATTGACAAAACTTGGATCTCCGGTATATGCCGTGTTATTACTAGCAGCAAACTTCCTTCTCCTTTGAACGCACTTTATAATTGTCACATAACAAGGCGTGGGTCGCTGGCATACAACTTCCAGATACTTTGTTTACGTAAAGTAGAAGTATTTGCGCCAGAAGCAAGTTTGTATGCAAGACGTAATCATTAGGCCACTGTTGCGGTGTGATTCGGGTGAATGCATGAATTCAACATCATATAAGATTATCGAACAGGCATGAAGCGCAATTCAGACGAGCTGTAGCCTCTATTCTAGTAATTATAGACAGAAAAAGGTTTAAATTACTGAAATAGTTCACTACTAAATTTCGAAAACTTAGAGATTAAATGAATTAAATTTCCAAAATTCGAGATTTTAAACAATTTTCTAATTCTGGGAAATTTTGAAATTGTGGAAAACTATTTCGTAAGAAAAGGATGCATATTTTATAAATGAGCAAAGATCAATATCCTGGACATCTGGATGCTCTGTTGTATCATTCGAGAGACCTAAATAACCAGGTTGTCACAGGCTAGCCAATTGGCTCAAATTATCAAATGGATAATTTTTAACCTGATCCGGAAACCTAACCTAACTTATCCTACTTGTAATGTATCTGATCAATTCCCTGCTGAGTGAGGAGATGGATGCCCGGTAGTGTACTGCGCAAATTGTAACCTTCCCTCACTCACCTTCTTTATCCCTTTAGCTTGTCACGCGTTCATCGTCACCCCTTTCCGCTGTCCTTTTTCTGTTGTTGGGCGCCGGTAAGCTCAACTGGTGTTGGCTTACAATAATTAAGGGCTTAATTTAGGAAAGAGAGGTAAAGGCGATGGGTAACTAGTTCAGCTGTTGGTAGAGCTGAGTTTCTTCCTCAGGGCGTTTGGCAGGGCCCCGATTACGCAGGGAAGGGATGAACACACCTTTGCACTTAAGCACTGTGATTATTTATTAACACTTTTATTCACTTGATAGCACACACAGTTAATATATATATATATATACTTGTATATAAGTACTTATCTAGATTCAGTCCGGGTGCACTAGAAGTTATCAGAATAGTTTAAGTAAACACTTTGCCTTGTTGAATTTAAGCTTTTGTCCAGAACAGCGGTGATACAAATTTTGCATCTAAACAGTTTACGAGTTGGCAGACACCTTTAGTCAGCGACTTACTTCTCTGAAGACCCTGAGGTTCTCGGTCCGTCAGTTCCTCAGCTGTGTCACTCCCCCTAAATTCTACCGATTTGGTAATTTTGAAATTTGGGATTTCACACAATTTTTGGATCTCCAATCAGCTACCTATAGTATGGGATTTTGATCCTTAAAACTCTAACGTCATTTTTGATAGCCCAGTGATGGATAGTACGCTTAGCGTGGTATCCAGCACGACTATTTTTAAGTTACGGTGTTCTGGACCTGACAGAGATCATATTCTCAAAGTTTGCGGCTGTGTTACTCTAGACAAAATTTCTAAGAAAATGGCACAAGGGTGATTCCTGTGAAACAGTAAGACTGGAAATAAGTCAATTCCTGCAAGCAAGAATGTTACTATGTCCCACTGGCTTGACTATTACGTACTACCGTCAATTAATTGCTTTGTAATAATGATTCTAATTATACCTAAAACTAGTGCGCGACAGTGAAGTGGTTACAGAACCTAACCTAACCTAACAACATAACCAGAGCCAATCTGACGAAGCCCTGCCCAAATACTCAGGTATGCACAAGTGGTTGCCCAATGGTCCGAAAAGATTACAGCCTTTACCTCACGAATTTGCGCTCCCACGATGTGTCTGATTCTTGTATGGACGATAATGCATTTTTGGTTTCATCAGGGGGGGGGGTGATTTCTGTATAGCTTGAGCGTCTATCGAATTCTCCGTCGACTTATGACCAGCCCATGCATTGAGTAGTCTTAGCTGATGTTAGCTGTCCTACATTACGAGTATAGGGACGCTGTTGTGAACTCATAACTTAATATTCTGTCGGGTGGAATTCTTCTTTGATGCGGTTTGTTGAGGAAACTTGCAGGTTTCTTCAGCGCCGGTCTTCTTTAGCGCAGTTCGAATCGTTGGTGCATCATCAGAAGGAACGTGCGTCCTTTTGGATCTCATAATTTTTGTCCTCAAAGAGTTCCTGTGTGCAGCAGACACAATTTTCTAGTAAAGGCATGAAACAGTTGTAATTATTTTCTGACATTCTTTGCAAATTAGAGGCCTGGGATAGCCCAGCCTGTACAGCGATTGGCTACGAGCTGGACGGCCGAGGGGTCGCAGCTACCCTCCATATCTGGAGGCCAGCTCTATCTGCAACCTGAGGACGCGCCATGCCATGGTGACAAGGGGCCCACTTTCTTAGATTTGAGGTTTTCATGGCGGTGACTATGAAGAATGCCGTCTTCTGGGATTTGGCGCTGTGTAGACGTAGTATAAACCGACGTTTCGGAGGAACGTATCGCCTCTATCTTCAGTGTAGAGGAGAAGAGAAAGGGAAAATCCGCGAGCGAGGAACCAGCGTGAGCGAGTGGCTGCAGACAGCCACTTACACTATGTCTGCACGGCGCCACATCCCAGAAGATGGCATTCACCAAGGGACCCGCTTAATATAATATTCATTTAAGGTCATAAGCTGAAAGTACCTTTCATAGTAAATTCTCTCGATGATAAGAATGAAAACTGATGCAGAGAGACCGAAGGCGAACAGAGAGAACGCGAAAGAGATGGTCCTGATTTCGACACTGACCACATCCCTCTTCAGAAGACATCGGGGCTTGGGTGGCCTCCATTTCTGCCATTCATGCTTCATCAGACCTCTCTCCCACACCTGTTGTAACCTGTCAGTATTGACGTTATCATAATTATTAAAACATATAACACCCATGTGTTTAGGTTCGTGTAGGTAAACATTTGTCTGGTGCATTTCCTCGTCTCCGTCGAGGATGGCATTAAAGCTAGCTCTATACAGCGTATATTTAGAATATGCCATTAGGAAGATCCTGCTGAAATCAGGACTGTTTGGAACTGGATTGAGCGCATAAGATTCTGTTAATTAATTTATTGGGGGGGATATCTATTCGCCGTATGGAAAACACAAATGTTTGAGACTCTAGTAAATAGGTTGTTCTACAATGATTCACAGTGAAAACTAAACAGGTCTATATATTCATGTTTCGTCAGTAGAATGCACGACAAAATAGGGGTATGAAGATAAGTAATAAATTCTTCGGAAACATGTCAACGCTCCAGTATTTGAAAACAAAATAACAAATAAAAATGAATTAGCGAAATAGTTTAGAACGTGTTCAACTGGGGAAATGATACTTACGATTCAGATCAGAATCGATTATTTTGTTATATCCTATATCGAAACATAACATTGATAAATTAAAAAGCTATAATTTTACCTGTTTTATTGTGTGGTTGCAGAACTTAGTCTCTCGCCTTAAAAGAAAACATAGATTGAGGGTTAAGGTTGCGGTCTTCTGGAATGCCTATAGTGTAATGTAATACTAAAATGTACATAGCTGTAAAATTTCACTTAAGAAAAGGAAAGCTTTTCTTTCTAACTTTGGTGGGACTACGGTTCTGTAGCAAAATGGACTGTGGAAAGAGCTGCAAAGAGTTGAGAATTGCATCTATAAGGGACCGGGCGATTATTGACCAGCTGAGCGACTTTCATCTTCTCAAGGACTCTGCTCCATTGAGTCATGCACAGATGCATGATGAATTAAACTTGCAGCATGTTGTCACCCTAAACTCTATAGATTACTTGTTTAATTTTAGTCTCGGGGCCATAAATTGCTCATATTACCCAGTGGTTTGCCCTGAAACTGATCAGAACAAACTTAACAAGTTTTTCATCTAAGGAGGAGTTTAAAGGACAACACAGAATAGTCACAGCTTACTCTAGACTCTAGAGTACGGATGACGAACCGTTGGCAACAAATGAGATTTTGGCGGGTACCGGTGGTCGACGGGTTTGTCTAAATTAACATCTACAGCCATCTGATCATTCACAGTGCCACCCAGAATACCGAAACGTATGTTTATCCAGAGAAGAAACAGCTCGAAGAAAGTAAAATTGTTGTATTGTCTTTTCGAGAGTGCATTTTGCTGATCATTTTCTTCCTGCTGCAGTACGTAGCATTATATTTAAAAACGTCATAAGCAAAACGGAACACATTATATTAAGTCCACCAGGAGGTACTGGAGAAATAAGGACATTTGGTGTTAATTATTGTTAGTAACTAACTTCTTACGCAGCCGGTCACTGTAGCCGAGCGGTCTAATGCATGTACTTACCTTGGGCGCGCATTAGCTCTAGCGGTTAGTCGCGGCCCGGGTTTGATCCCGGGTCTGGTGAAGTGGGATTTGTGGTGGACAGAGTGGCGCTGGGGCGGGTTTTCTCCGAGTACTTCTGTTTCCCCTGCCAATCTTCATTCCACCAAATTATCCATCATCATAATCACCCGGGGCAGGCTACAATAGGCCAATTAGTGGCCGCCTTGCCGAGTGGACCCAGTTGGACTTCAGCCCCCACTAAGCGAATTAAAAAAAATGTACTGCCTTCGCTCGCTCGGAAACCGAGATCGTGGGTTCGAATCCCACACAAAGCATGGATGTTTGGAATGTATGTGTGTTTATTCTGTGTTCGTTCTTTCCTGTGTTTAGGTAGAGGCCTTGCGACGAGCTGACCACCCGTCCAAGAAGTCATACCGTCTAAAAAATTATCATGAAACTGAAAAATCAGAGGCCAGGGCCCAAAGGGGCTGTAGAGCAGTGAAAAAATACCTTTTACACAAATGTATGGTCAGTTAGCAAAAAGATTCATCATCCATATTCTGAAGTATCTTTGGCTTCTGTCTGGAATACAAACCCATAAGCCAAAAGGTGCTTGTATGGCGATCCCTTCCGGACGAGGGCAAACGTGGGTCCAGCCATGGATGTGAAGAGCGGAATTTCGGTCAGGGCACACTTTTCAGAGTCTGTAAACGTGTTGTCGATGTGAGGATAGGCTTGAATTTGCTCTACTTGGAAAACAAACGGTTCCTCCTTCATCTTCTTGACACCGATGTCCACTCGATATGCATTTGGATTTGACTGTGTTGGAGGAAAGATCTTCTTTCTATACAGAGTACGCACCAGAGGATCAGTGGTTTGCTGGAAATATAAGGATTACTTGATTAATTCTTATGCTATTCTTGAAGCTTGAAGGATTCTTATGTTACTTTACGACAACAGTTCGAGTGAAAAGATTGTTATGTGGCCGATGTAGAGATCTTTGATGTTGACGAGATCAAAATTTTTAAGGCGACAGTAGTGGGCTCCTTCAAGGTACTGCATCGGCATTCACTTTGAGAAAATTCATGAAAAAGTTTTCAAACTTGCCTGCACGAGAACATAATCTTGTACTTCATGAATATTAGCGGTTAGCGTTACCATTATACCAACTTGCCCTTTAACGGCCCCATTTGAATTTTTTTTTATTTATTCATTTGATCAGCAATGAGCATATACATTCTATAAGCTAATGTTATGGGTGTTGAGATGACATGATGAGGAGGCGTCCAGCGGCGAATCCTCAGTAATTCAAATCAGGTCAATTGGCCAGTTTCGTTCGAGTCGTCTGTTGTCGTCTCTTGTCGATAGCGTCTTTAGGAGTGGGTTTTTGTGAGTTATGAGTTTGTTGTGATGTCTGTTGCTTTTTTGTTGGGTGACGTCTTGTACGGAAGATATACCGAGATCGGTGTGGAGAGTTGCGTTGGAGACATACCGTGGTGCGTTGACTATCATTCGTAGGATCTTAGATTGGCTTCTTTGAATTATTGATATGTTAGCCCCATAATTCCGCGCCGTACGTCAAAATAGGTATGATTATAGTCTTATAGATCAGAATTTTATTTTCGACTGTTAGCTTTGATTTCTTGCCTATTAGCCAGTTTAACTGTTTAGTGGTTAAGTCTGCTTGTTTTCGTTTCTTCACTACATGCTGCTTCCATGTTAATTTGCTGTCTATAGTTATACCTAGGTATTTTATTTCTGCATTGCGTGGTATTTGGATGTCATTGATGTATATGTCAGGTGTCGGCTATTTCAAATTCTGTGGTGGATTTCACTCACATATTGAGGAAAGCGACGAGAAACCTCAGTCAGGATAAATGGTAGCTCAGCCGAGATTCGAATACAGGCCTAAATGTAGAGGATACCACTAATTATATTGCATGATTAGCGGACTGAGCAGTATGAAGAGGCTACAAATGCTGTTTGTTTATGTTTGTATCCTGTTGCGTGAGTATAACAGATAATACAAATTCCACCGTCAACGCAGCTATAATTTACTAACTTATGTTCCACCACATGTTTCGACTCGTATAGGATCATCATCAGGTGTTGTGATTTACACATTTCCATTACCGAATTGTAAAGCATGTACTCATACTTACATACATAGCTTAAAATGACTATTTTTATGTACATTCATATCATCATCATCAGTAATCTGTCAGACGACAGGTCCACAGTCGCTTCCAAAACAATTCCTCCACTTAATGCGATCTATATATATTATTTATTTAAATCAGCATCGAGCAGTTAGAATATAAGTGTACCTAGAAAGTAGTAATTTTAAGCTTATGTATCTAAATATGAATACACGCTTTACAATTCAGTAATGAAAATATGTAAATAAAAACACATGAAGATGACCCTATAACGGTCGAAACATGTAGTGGAACACAAGTTAATAAATTATAGTTGCGTTAACGGTGGTAGAATTTGTATTATTAGCGACAGAATTTTTTTCTAAAGGGTTCTGATGGATGGTGTGTAAGAGTTTTTGGACTTTGTCCATCGTCCGTTATTCTGAAGAACACAGCGTATCGGAAACTGGATGTGTTTCCGCCCTCAGATTAAGAGATGGGGGATACCTACTCTGTTGGGTCCGTCAGAAAGAGCTAACCTCAATCACCGGATCCACTTCCTCACCTGAAAACGGAAATAGATACAGCTTCCGAAAAATTGCGTTCTTCAGTATGCCTGACGATGGACAAAGTCTAGAAACACAGCAATCCTAGCCGACAGAAGTGCTAAGTAAATTTGTTTTGTGCTGTTATAAAAAGAGAAGAGAACGAAGGAATTTGAAAATACAGCGTGAGGAAAGTATCTGAGCTTGAAAGAATTGAAATGGGGAAAGAAATGAGACAGTTACACATGGAGGTATTGCACTTCATCAGTTACAATATTATTTCGCTTTAAGGTCTCTTTGATTTGGTTCATCCTGATCCATCACACTAGCAATATTACAAAAGGCTAATCAACTCCGTCCAGTGTGACTGATAAAATGTTTTTTATTTTATCAGTCACACTGGACGGAGTTGATTAGCCTTTTGTAATTATGGTCTCTTGTTTCATACCAGTGTTCTAGAGTTAACATTGTTTCTTGAACCGCGTTATTTCAGTAACGTCGAATGTAAAATGGGATGTTATGAGAAATATATGTGGAAGTAAATTATTTGGAGTGTTTTCGGGTAGCATACTCGTGCAGTCATAGAATGTATCTGTAGGAACTCAGAATGCTTATAAGGAGAGAAACAGCACTTGACCGTTACGTTGATTGGGACAACACACAGAAGTGTGCATAAAACATGAGTGCTCCAAGTTTGATTCAAACTGGAGACTCAGGAGTGCGCGGTTTGGTCTCAGTCTCAGTCAATGAATACAGAAGTCATACCTCGAAAAATCCCCTGTTATGGCTGACATTCTCGTAGCCGACTTGAAGATTGGAGTCGATCAGGTCTTGGATGGTGCGTATGGTTTTTGCTGGCTCGGATAGTAGAGAGGACACAATGCCGCCGCCATAGTAGTTATTGAGCAGAATCACCTGCACCATGGTGAACAGAAGGACAATACGGAATGTCACCCACTTGGACTCCATCTCCGAACCTGATAACACGCGTCATAAAGACATAACGGCCTTTCTGCCACAACTCATTGTCGAAGACCTAACTCACCATGCCAGCCAGAATGGACCTTAGTTAGTAAGTTATTGGAGAGGGTGGGTTTCCCCATGCACTTAGACCTGTATTGGTCCATTGTGCTTCCCTCTATGATTTCTACCAGTCTCTATATCCTACCGGTACTGGTGCTTACCATCAGTCCCACCCAGCCAGCGAGACCGGCTCTACTAGCTGAGAGGTATCTCCATCTACCAGAGGTATTAGAGACTGCTGTTGGGCGGGAAACGTCCGTGAATTTGGCTCAGTGACCTCCTTTGGAGATATGAGGTTCTTTTACGTGCCGTAAAGCTACGACACGGGACCCACGGCTTAAAGTCCCTCCCGGAGGACTTGTTCCCTGAATTTTTCCGCCCTTAAAAATTCGACGACCTCCGCCGGGTATTTGAACCCGGGTACTACGAGTCATGAGGTGGGAACGTTACCTCTAGACTACGGAGGCCGCTTCAAAGAATGGACCATAGTTTATGTCGGCCCGCAAATTCGCTCTTCGTTTATTTTAGTCTCGCGAAGTAATTCGATCACAGTTATAATTGTTAAGTAATTATTAAAGTAATTATTAAAAGGTACACTTATCCCTGCATTTATCTAATTAAGCATTACGCCATGAAGACGTATGGGGGAGCAGATGCGTAGATTAACATTTTCTTGACCTCGGCACTAGTTGGAGACGAGTGGTCAGCTTCACGCCTCTGCCGCTTTATCCCCTGGGAAAAGACCCCGGTACCCATTGATTTGGTGGGCCACAGGGCCGATCTGGACCTTGCGGAGAACAGAAAATTCTTGACCTTACCCGGACTCGAACTCCGCCCCCCCCCCGGTCGTCAAGCCCATAGCTAGCCGTTATACCGACTGCATTATCCCGGCACCTTTCCGTTATATACTGGTGCTAATTTGTGACGCTTTAAATTATTTTATATGCTCTCATCTATGTTCTTTTTTAATTGTGATGTTTGATGTAGTTAATTGGTAACACATAAAAACGTTCACTTTTATAAATAATGTATTTACTTCTGAAGCGGTGCTTGTTCAAATCGTCTCTTTATAATCATAACATTGGCCCTGGATGCCCAAAAGTCTTACATTTTTGTGGCCTTGGGAACGTCAGTTTTTAATGTGACTTGCCTCAGCTTTGTGTAAAAGCAGTTACAGAAGTGTTTTTTTTTTAACCAAATTTGCTTGTCGTAGTCCATGGTAATTCTGAAATTTTGAAAACTTCAGTTTTGGGAAAATTAAGAATGTTATAAGAGAAGGAAGAACGAGAGTCTCACACAGCCAGAGCAGTTTTGTTGGTGAGTTTATAAAACGATATTAATTTTAGGTGGCTTATAAGGAATGTGGTGAAAGGAAACATTTATTACGTCCTCACCATGAACTTCTTACTCTTGTGATGGGCCGCGCCATAGCTCAAGCGGTTAGTCACTGGCTTCCCACCGCGGCGGCCCGGGGTTTTTCCCCGGTCTGGTCAAGTGGGATTTGTGGTGGACAAAGTGGCGCTTGGGCGGGATTTTCTCCGAGTACTTCGGTTTCCCCTGCCAATCTTCATTCCACCAAATTCTCCATCATAATCACCCGGGGAAGGCTACAATAGGCCAATCAGTGGCCGCCTTGCCGAGTGGACCCAGTTGGACTTCACCCCCCACTAAGCGAATTAAAAAAGAATGTACTGCCTTCGCTCGCTCGGAAACCGAGATCGTGGGTTCGAATCCCACACAAGACATGGTTGTTTGGAATGTGTATATGTTTATTCTGTGTTCGTTCTTTCCTTTGTTTAGGTAGAGGCCTTGCGACGAGCTGACCACCCGTCCAGGGAGTCATACCGTCTATAAAATTATCATGAAACTGAAAAATCAGAGGCCAGGGCCCAAAGGGGCTGTAGAGTCAGTGAAAAAAATACACAGATGTATCGTCAGTTAGCGAAAAGATTCATCGCCGTTTTACAAGCTCGATAATCAGAAAAGACAATGAGTCGCAGCATTAACCAACGAACCTTGCTCACTGACGGCTCCAACTGTAGCCAGTATGGTTGCACTCCAAGAGCTTTCCATTGTCGACTCGTGAAAGTCGTGAGTTGACTCGAACCAAGCGGAGACCCTCAGGGTGAACAGGACGAGTAACCACGTTCCGAGAATGCAGATCCACACGGTGGCTGTGAAGGGCTGCAGCAAAGCGTTGCGCACGGTGTAGACCTTCGGGTGCCGGAATATTGCTGCCGATCTGCGTAATATTAACCCTTTTAGTGCCACCCTCCAAAACACCAGTAATTTTATTGCATTTCTCTTTAATATCAGTGTGAGGTCGAAATGGTTTCAGTTAAACAACCCTCATTCTTTCCGCCACGGTTGGCATAGTTTCTCAATTCTCTCACCAGGAACAGTTGCACATAAAAATACTCCGTGGTTTGTAGTCCGCAAGCGAACTATACCGACCGAGCGACCGCCGCTTGTCGGCGAATTTAGTGTCAACTTTTGCGTATAGAGGGTGTCGCATGGTCAGGGCAACGGATCCCCACGGCCATTAATCTCGGTTTTCTATACCGGAGCCGCTATTTCCTTCAAATAGCTCCTCAGTTATCCTCACAAGGCTGAGTGGACCCCGTTCCAGACCCACTACTTCTCAGAAAATCTGGTAACATCGGGAATGGAACCCGGGACCTCTGGATCTGTAGCCAAGAACTCTGACCACTAGACCACAGTGGCGGTCGACAGTTGCATATAACATTACAAAATGGCGAATACTGAGGATTATCCTTATAAAAAGTGTCAGTTTGTGAATTTTTATTCCATCGATCTTATCGCTGTTCACAGTATGAGGTCGTATTCTGTTATCGATTATCCTGTTACTTTATGCCTATCCGATCCAAATATTCTCCTTAGCATTTTCAGTGTATGTCCTTCTCTTGGGGCTAGAGATAAGATTTCACGTCAGAATGAAAGAAAAAGTTTCAGTTATAGGTTTGTATATTCTGAACCCAGACAAGAGGCTACAAATTTCTTAAATGAATGCGTGCAACGACGCCCCCCCCAGTTAATTTCACTTTTAACTTTTTTTATTGCTGGTGGGGTGGGACTAAGTCCCTTGTACTGCAGCTACTTCTGACCTATTGTACCAGCCCCAGATCATAGGTGAGGGTGATTGTGGAGCAATTGGTGGAATGAAGATTGGGAGGGGAAACCGAAGTACTCGGAGAAAACCTGCCCCTGCGCTACTTTGTCCACCACAAATCCCACTTGACCAGACGCGGGATCGAACCCGGGCCGTCGCAGTGGGAAGCCATCGACTAACCGCTTGAGCTGTGGCGCAGCCCTCGCTTTTAACTTAGTTGTGAACGTAACTTTAATTTGTTACTGTCGTTCCGAAATATTAGAGCAAACAAAACAACAGACAAAATTATGTATTGTAACAGGTCACTTACGTACTTACTTAGTTACTTATGGAGCTGAGCACATCTTGAGTAGAACCCAAATCTGTAGCTACTCAGGAATTTACCAGCATTTTATGGAACCCGAAGGTTTATTACCGTGTTCACAAAAGCCCTCCACTGGTCTCCATCCTGGGCCCGATCAATCCAATCCGTACCATCCCATCCCATCCTACCTCTCTAAGATCCATTTTAATATTGTCCACCAACCTACTCCTTGGTCTTCTCAGTGGTCTCTTTCCTTCTGGCTTTCCCACCAATATAAAGCAATACCTAATTGTGGGGACTTACTCGAATGTCCATGTTGGTGTCAAGAAGTCTGCAGCCGCTTCCCGAGCTCTGGAGAACAGGAGTGGAGACAGCGATAACTGGACTTCGTTTCGTTGCATCATTCCAATCTGGCCTTGAAACGAACCGTTCTCAAAAGGGGCCAAATTTGACGTATCCGTCAGCAGTACTCTCATACTAACACAGGAATGAAAGTAGGCATAGTTTTTTAAACGTATTCGGCGTTACTTGAAAATTGCAAATCATGACAGTTTGTGCTGCAAATGCAGCAGCAGAATACGAGTAGCTTGACATGGTTACGCTTCCATTGTGCTTCTTGATTGTATTTATCTATATCTATCTGTTCAGAATGCTCCCAATTTGGAGCATAGGGTATCCGCGAGACGCTTTGTTTCACTTCAGTTTCTTAGACAGTCGGTAGGACTCCTTGGACTGGGGATCAGCCCAGCGGAAGACCGCTACATACACAGGAAAACACAAATAGAGAATAAACGCAGACGGACATCAATGCCTTGAGTGGAATTCGAACCCACGATCCCTGTGTTAGACCGGGCGGAGACTTTTTATGCCTTAGACCGCGCGGCCTCTGTGATAAGCTCTTAACTGTATACAATGTGGTAATGAATTCCATCAGGATTTTGATCCGTAAATTTAACATTTCCATTGAATTTGTCGACTGTGTAGCTTCAACAAATTCTAATAGAAAAATTGATCTAAAATCGTCCATGTTTTGTGATACAAATAATTTAATAATTCTGATGTTCAAAATGCCAGAATGTGAATAACAGACGTCAGAAATAATTTTAAATAGTACCGGAATTCGGCCCGGCTGTTGAAAACATTGGTATATAGGTACAAGTATCATGTTTTGGGATATTATCCATCGTCTCGTCTATATTTGAAAACCGCCTGTTTATTTTTCAAAACACAACGTTTCGAAGACTGGATCCTGTCTCCGTCCTCAGGTGAAACCTACTCAGTTGGGTCCCACTAGACAGAGCTTGTCCCTATCTCGGGACCTGGTATACAGGACATAGGAATTTCATATAGGACCAAACCACTTCTGCTAAAGCAAGGGAAATGTTGGTGAATAGTGTTGATGGGTTTAATACTGTATAAAGATAAAGTAAAGTAAAGCTATCCCTGTACCAGGCCCTGAAGACCCATAGTGTTGTGCGACGTTGAGGGTCCCACACTGTTCAGGCAATCGGCTCAAAGAT